CTTTCCTTCCTCCTCCCCTCCTTTTCCTTCTACCTCTCTTTCTCCCTGCCTCTCTCTTTCTCATCCTCCCTTTCCCTGTTCTCCCCTCCTCCTCTCCCTCCTTCCCTCCCTCCCTCCCCTCCCTCCCTCCTCTCTCTCCTCCCAAAAGACGTTTCAACGCGAGGCAACGTTCAACGTCAGGTGCAACCGGGAACCATTTACATACACGATTGCACAACTTACACGGATGGACAGACAGACAGCCACACGTCCCGCCCCCCTCTTAGATTCCCTCCTTCCCCCCCCTCTCCCTTCCACTCCCCCCCTCCCTCCCCCACCACCCACCCTCACGTCATGCAAAAAGGTGCTGAACGACAGACTGAATGACTGACAAAAAAGAAAAAAGAAAAAAAAAAAACGAAAGAAAAAAAAACCCGCAAATAATTATAATTGCAATAATCAAATATAACTGGAAACAAATAAATTGCACGATGTACGATAACATTCAGTCTGTGTCTGTCTGTCTGCCTGTCTCTGTCTCTCTCTCTCTTGTCTCTCTCTCGTCTCTCTCTGTCTCTCTCTGTCTCTCTCTCACCACCAGTTATCGTTACGGCTGTTACCTCCTCTTCCTTCTTTTTTTTTAAAGTCTCTCATTCACCCCACCCTCCTCTCTTGGCCGCCCAACCGCATATCCATATAACGTCTTCGTGGGTGAGGAGGAGGAGGGTGGGAGGGGAGGGGAGGGGAGGGGAGGGGAGGGAAGGGGGAGGAGGAGGAGGGAGAGGAAAGGGCGGAGGGAAATTGAGAAAAAAGTAGATAAAGAATGGAAGGGAGAGAGAGAGAGAGAATGGGAAAGGAAGAGGGAAACAGAGCGAGAAAGAGAGAGAGAGAAAAAAAGAAAGAGACAGAGAAAGAGAGAGGAAAATGTTTCAAGAGAAAGAGGAAGAAAGGAAGAAAGAGAGAAACGGAGCATTTGAGTCACATGAGAGTAATGATGTCTGACGTCCCATGACTACCCCCCCCCCTCTTTCTCCGCCCCCCCCCCCCCCATTTCCTTCGACCTTAACCCCCCCCCCCCCCCCCACCTCACGTATACCCACGACAGCCGTATTTTCACACGACAGATGAATAAATGAATGAGTAACTAAACAAAAAACATTAAAATATTTTTTTTTATTTTAAGAAAAAAAAAGAAGACAATCTTTTGTTTGTCAAATATTCATCCTTCGTCGTTTCCGCCCGCGTGCTTTCGCAAAAATACATGTGACGAATTACTTTACATTTACGGATATTCCAGTTTTTTTTCGGTTTCTCTCCCTCCTCCCCTTCTTCCTTCTTCTCTTTCAATCGGTTTCTTCCTACCTCTATCCTCTTTTCAACAATCTCCCTCCCTCTCTCTCTCTCTGTCTCTCTGTCTGTCTGTCTCTCTGTCTGTGTCTCTCTGTCTGTCTGTCTGTCTCTCTCTCTCTCTCTCTCTGTCTCCCTCTCTCTCTCTCTCTCTGTCTCCCTCTCTCTCTCTCTCTCTCTCTCTCTCTCTGTCTCTCTCTCTCTCTCTCTCTCTCTCGCACCGGAAACATCGCCTTGACGCGACAAACGACATCCTTCAAGAGGTCGACTGGACAACCGTGTGTGGGGGGGTAGGGGGGGTGGGATAAATAGGGGGGGTAAGGAGTGGGAGGATGAGGAAGAAGGGGGGGGGGGGAGGGGTACGTCATGTGCTGGGCGGCAACGGTCAAGATTGGGGGAAGAAGGCGGTGGTAGTGGTAGGGGGGGGAGGGGTAGATGAAGCTAAAAATATAGACCTAGAGAGAGAGAGAGAGAGAGAGAGAGAGAGAGAGAGGAAGAGAGAGAGAGAGAGAGAGAGAGAGAGAGAGAGAGAGAGAGAGAGAGAGAGAGAGAAAGAAGAGAGTGAGAGAAAGAGAGATAAAAATATATATGTATATAGCAATAATAATAATAAAAAAAAAAACGAAAAAAAAGTCGACCCAAATAATCAATATCATAAAACTTGTTGCTCTTCCTCCTATTCCTTCTTCGGCGCCTTCCACCTTTCTCCTTCCCTCCACCCCCTCCCCCCCTCCCCCCTCTCCTCCTCCTCCCGGATTTCCAAGCGACAGCTCCCTGGCATCACTAATCCCCTTCCTCTTTATCAGCATCATCGTCCAAAACTCCTGTTCTTGGCGGGCTCCTTAAGGTCTGTTCTTGCCTTCGAATCCTATGGGTGCATCGCCCTTATGCCCACCCTGGCCGCCGCACGCAACGCTCTTGCTTGCCTGATGCACTTAAACGCACATGCGCGCACCGGCACAGGCATACACACAGGCGTGGAAACATCCATATGGGGGAGGGGGAGAGGGAGAGGGAGGGAGGGAGGGAGTGAGAAAGAGAGATAGAAAAAAGGCTGATAAATGTAACAACGCTCTCTCTCTCTCTTTCTCTCTCTCTCTCTCTCTCTCTCTCTCCTTCTCTAGGCCTCCTTCTCTCCCCTCTCCCTCCCTCACTCCCCCCCTCTCTTTCTCACTCACACACAATACACACACACACACACACACACACACACACACACACACACACACACACACACACACACACACACACACACACACACACACACACACACATAAATTACGAAACACCGAAACACAACCTTGAAAGGAGCCTCGGCCGCCCCCCTCCCCCCTCCTCCCCCCAACTTCCTGTCCAGGCAGTGTGTGGTGTCTCCTTAACATACAAATCCCCAGCTTCCGGTTCACAAGACGTCACATGCCTAACTACGCACACAGAAAAAGGCCAGTTAAGAAACCTTTCTCCCACTAACCCCCCCTCCTCTCTCCCTGCCTCCTGCCTCCTGCCTCCTCTCTCTCTCTCTCTCTCTCTCTCTCTCTCTCTCTCTCTCTCTCTCTCTCTCTCTCTCTCTCTCTCCTACTCATATTTACCTTCCCCTCCCTTTCTTATCCCTCTCTCTCCTCCTATCCACTTTCCTCCCTCTCCCTCTATCTCCCCCCTTCCCCTTTCCCCTATCCACCTTCCCTCCCCTACCACTCCTCCCCCCCTTCCCCACTCCCCCCCACGTCCCTGCCACACACGTCAGCTGCCAGCCATCCTTTTCCAACGTCAGTCTGTTTGTCTGTCAGAACTGTCTTGTCCGTCTGACTGGCAGTGTCTTGAAAGGCCAGTCTCTCTTCCCCCGGCCGTCTGGGAGGGGAGGAGGGAGGGGGAGAGGGAGGAAGGGGGGGGAGGAGGAGGAGGAGGAGGGGGAGGAGGAGGGGGAGGAGGAGGGAGGAGGAGGAGGAGGAGGAGGAGGAGGGGGAGAGGAGGAGGAGGGGGGAGGAGGAGGGAGGAGGAGGAGAAAGAGGAAGAGGAGGGAGATGACAAAAAGGAAGAGAATGAGGAAAATGAGGATGAGAAAGGGGAAGAAAATGAGGAAAGGGATGGGGATGAGGATGAGGAAGAAGGCAGAGATAGTAGGGGGATAAGTGTTAATTGTTGTCGACTCCATCCAGTCTGGGAGGGCCGTGAGGGGACTCGCTAACAAAAGGGAGGAAGGGGGCGGTCTCTCGGTCTCGGTCTCTCGGTCTCGGTCTCTCGGTCTTTCGGTCTCTCTCTCTCTCTCTCTCTCTCTCTCTCTCTCTCTCTCTCTCTCTCTCTCTCTCGACGCCCGCTTCCTCCCACCCGCCCACCGCCGCCCACCAACCCATAACGCACAAGCGCCCACCCGCCCACCGCCGCCCTTACGTATGACGCAACACTTCTTTTCTTACTCGTCCTTTCAGCCCATTATTCCAACCCTTTCCTTTCTCCCTTCTCCCTCCTCCCCCCCCCTTCTTCCTTTTTTTTAGGGGGGGGGGGAGGTAAGTATTTCCTCCGGAATGAAAAAAAGGGCCATAAACCACAAAATATGGATAAGGAAGAGGAGGAGGGGAAAGGAGGAGGAGGAGGAAAGAGGAGGAGAAAGGAGGAGGAGGAGAAAGGAAGAAGAAGAAGAAAGGGAGGGGGAGGGGGAAGAGGGGGAAGAGGGGGAAGAAAGGAAGGAATGGAAAGAGAAAGGAGGAGGAGGAGGAGGAGGAGAAGAAATGAAAGAGTAAGAAAGTAAAGAGGCGCCAGGAGGGAGGAGGAAGAGAAGGAAGAAAAAAACGAAGACGAAGTATAATAAAGAGAGAGGGAGAAAGAGAAGAAAATTTGGGTGGCGGAAGAGAGGAAGGCGGATGAAGAATGGGGGTCACTTTTCCTGCAAATTGCCTTGCATTCCTCCCCCCCTTTCTCTCTCTCTCTCTCTCTCTCTCTCTCTCTCTCTCTCTCTCTCTCTCTCTCTCTCTCTCTACGCGTGTACACTACATACGTGAATACACTTGCCCTTCATGAGTAAAGGGAGAGAGAGAGAGAGGGAGAATGGAGAAAAGATGAAAGTAGGAAGAAAGAGAAAAAGAGAAAGAGAAAAGGAGAATGAGAAATAGAAAACAAAACAAAACAAAAAGAAAGAGATAAGAGAGAGAAACGGGAAGAAGGAGGGAGAAGGGAAGAAGGAAGGGAGTTTGCAGCCAGATCATGCAAAATGCAACAGGTCAACGGGTCTGAAATCACAACCGGTCTGACACTCAACCAGACGTTTATCTCCAATTCTTCTGCGGCGCCGAATACCAGAGGGGGAGGGGGGAAGGAGAGAAAGGGGGAATGGGGGGGGGGGAGAGAAAGGGGGAATGGGGGGGAAGGAGAGAAAGGGGGAATGGGGGGGGGAGAAAGGACGGGAGGATCGGAGAGAGGGGGAAATGAGGGAGAGGGAGAGAGGGAAGGAAAGGAGGGATGTGAGGGAAGGGAAGAAAAGGAGGGGAAGAGAGCAAAGAGGTAAGAGAAAGGGAGGGAAGGAGAACAAAGAAAAGACGAGAGAGAAGACAATAAGAAAGAGATAAAGAAAAATGACCAAGGAAAAAAAAAAAAAAAAAAAAAAAAAAAAAAAAAAAAAAAAACTCAAAATCAAAACATACCAACACACAAAAACAAACAAACAAACCACTCATACTCACCAATAAACTGAATTGCTTGCGGGAAAAAGGAAGCGAGGTTTTGGCTCCAGTGATCGGCGATGGGAATCTGCATGTACTTATAATTCCCACTGTTCTCGAACACATTAGGCAGGTTTGGCGTCACGTTGATAATATA